TAAAGCTGTCTTTACTTCTCTTTATCAGTGTTAGAAGTTATATTGTTAGCTTCTTTGTTATTTCTTGTTATTTTGTTTTGTCAGCTACCCCCGAAGCATGTTCCCCTTCCCCAGCTTTAATTGCTTATTACTTGTTACTTTTCCGCCATATGTTATATAACTGCACAGGTTTATCTAGAGTCTGGTCCTAGCCTCGTCACTACCTCGCCGGGGTTAGGCCAGGCACTTACCAGCATATGGGGTCGGTTGTGCTGATACTATACTCTGCACTGTGTGTAGATCCCGGAGCAGCTTTCGGACAGTAGTTGGAAGGCTTCCTTTAGTCCACTCAGAGACCTAAGGTAGACCTATAGGTATCCGCAGGTCCTGGCGTCTCTCTCTATCTCTATTTTGTGTTTCATTTCCTTTGTTCAGAAACAGTGTGTTGCATTTCTTCAGACCTTGTATGTAGAAGCAACATAAAGTAAGGAAGGAAACAACATAACTAGAATATCAACAAGGAAGCAAAAATCAACAATTTGCACGGCATCACCCTTTGTGCTTTTACTCTCGTTCTCACCAAAATAATACACGGCATCACCCTTCGTGCTTTACGCTCTTCCGCACCCAAACAACAATCACAAAGCAAATAGGGTAAGGAAATCTAATACCTCGAAGTAAATCAAATAACAATAAGTAATGAAAGAAATAACATAACTCGGATATCAACAAGGAAATCAGAAATCAACAAATGCATGGCATCACCCTTCGTGCTTTTACTCTCGTCCTCACCAAATCAATTGTATCGTAATAATGTGCATGGCATCACCCTTCATGATTTTATTCTCTTTCCTCACAATATAGTCAATGAATATCGGTACGAAATGGTACATCGTACGGCACGACATCACCCTTCGTGCTTTACACTCTTTTCTCACAATAGCAAACAATGCACGACATCACTCTTCGTGCTTTATCGCTCTTCCTCACCCAAACAACAATCACAAACAAGGGGCAAGGGATTAAACAAATAATAATAATAGAAATCTCGGCAAGGGAATACAATTAAACAGCTAAGTCCCGGCAAGGGAACAATATCAATAAATCTCAACATACCGGCAAGGGAGATAATCAACAAAGCAACAAGCATCCCGACAAGGGAATAATTCAATAACTCTTTCTCTTTCTTTCACTTCTTACTTTATAACTCACTTTACCACTTGAGCCAATGCTCCAAATGGTTCAATTATCTCATATACTTTCACAATTCATATTACCACCTGAGCCAATGCTTCTCGAAGTTCAAAGATCACAATTTCTTTCACATGCTTTTTAAAACATATAGAAATCATCATTAAGGCATGAAAGATACAACAAGATCATAATATCCGCAATATAAAGACTCATGGTCATGCTAGATACCAACGTATAAATACTCATCACCATGCCTATACGTCGTACTCAAAAATTAGCACATAGCAAATAAGACTCAACTCCTAATCCCTCAAGCTAAGGTTAGACCAAACACTTACCTCGAAGCTTTGAACACCACTCAAGCTTCAATTATAGCTTTACCCCTTGATTCTACCACCATTCCACTCGAATCTAGTCACAAGTTACTTAATTATATCAATAAGTGCTAAATGAATCAACCCCAATGCATGAAAATGAGTTTTCCCAAAGTTTTACCCAAAAAGTCAAAATCACCTTGGTCCCACGTGGTCGAAACCCTAGGTTCGGACCAAAACCCGATTACTCATTCCCCCACGAATACAGATGTATAATTTATTTTGAAATCGGACCTCAAATTGAGGTCCAAATCCCCAATTTTTTGGAAAACCTAGGTTCTACCCAAAACACCCAATTTCCCCCATGAAAATCTTTGATTTTAAGTTGAAACCATGTTAAAAGATGTTAATGATTGAAGAAAACTAGTTAAAAATAACTTACAATTGATTTGGAAAAGAAAGGTTGTTTGAAAAATCGTCTCTTATGCTTTTGCGATTTTGATAAGTGAAAAATAACTAAAAATCCCGTCTATTTATACCCCTCTCAGACCCTCACCACGGACTGCATAGAAAGGACCGCGACCGCGGTGCTCCACCACAGACCACATTAAATGGACTACGGCCGTACAGGCCTCCCTGAAGACCTGCAGTTCAGCACCCTGTGTGGACCGCACAAAGGCGACTGCGGCCGCACAGCCTCCACCGCGCCCCGCACAAAGGTGACCGCGGCCGCGCTAGCCCCTCCGCGGTGGCCGCAATTTCTCGTGGACTGCACTAAAGGGTTCCGAGGCCTGCACCTTCCTGAACCTGCAACATCTGACTTTCTAAGCCTAAGGCATCCCGGAACATACTCGAACTCACCCGGGCCCTCGAAACTCCAACCCAAGTATACACACAACCTCAAAACATCCTACGGACATATTAGTGTAATAAAATTACCAAAATAACATCACGAGCATCGAATTAAACCTCGAGATCAATGAAATTTCTCAAAACTCTTTTAAAACATCACATTTCTCTATTAAGGTCCGGATCGCGTCAAACGACGTCCGTTTTTAACTAAATTTCACAAGAATGACTCAAGTCATATATAAGACCTGTACTGGGCACCGGAACCAAAATACGGGCCCGATACTAACTCGTTCTAATCGAATTTCATTTCAATTTCCTTAGACATTTTCAGAAAAACAATTTCCTTAAAAAAATTCACTTCTCGGGTTAGGGACATCGGATTCTGATTCTGGGCATACGCCCGAGTCCCATATTTTCCTACGGACCTTCCGGGACCGTCAAATTACGGGTCAGGGTTCGTTTACCCAAAAATATTGACCGAAGTCAAATTTATTCATTTTAACATCAAAACTTAGCATTTTTCACAAAATTTCATATTTAAGCTTTCCGGCTACGTGCCCGGACTGTGCACACAAATCAATGCGACTCTAAATGAGGTTTTCAAGGCCTCGGAAGCACATAATGGGTAAGAAGAAGGAAGTACCTGAGTCGGGGAATAAATGAGGATAACGGCTCCGCATATCGAACTGGGACTCCCAGGTCGATGCCTTAGGAGTCTGACCTCTCCACTGAACACGAACAGAAGGAAAACTCTTGGATATCAACTAACGAACTTGCTGGTCTAGAATAGCTACCGGATCCTCCTCATAGGACAAGTCCTTGTCCAACTGGACAGTGCTGAAATCTAACACGTGGGATAGATCGCCGTGATACCTCTGAAGCATGGACACATGAAAAATTGGATGCACGGCTGATAAGCTCGGCGGCAACGCAAGTCTATAAGCCACCTCTCCCACTCGATCAAGAATCTCAAACGGACTAATGAACCTAGGGCTAAGCTTGCCCTTCTTCCCAAATCTCATCACGCCCTTCATAGGCGACACTCAGAGCAATACCCGCTCATCAACCATAAAAGCCACATATCGAACCTTGCGATCTACATAGCTCTTTTTGCCTAGACTGGGCTGTATGCAGTCTATACTAAATGATCCTAACCTTGTCCAAAGCCTCCTGAACCAGATCTGTACCCAACAACCGAGCCTCTCCCGGTTCAAACCATCCAACCGGAGATCGACACCGCCTACCATATAAAGCCTCATAAGGATCCCTCTGGATACTCGACTGGTAACTGTTGTTATAGGTAAACTCTGCTAAAGGCAAAAACTGATCCCACGAACCTCCAAAGTCAATAACACAAGCTCGGAGCATATCCTCCAATATCTGAATAGTCCGCTCGGACTGCCCGTCCATCTGAGGATGAAATGATGTACTCAACTTAACCTGGGTGCCCAACTCTCGCTGAACTGCTCTCCAGAAATGTGAATTAAACTGCGTACCTCGGTCCGAAATGATAGATATTAGCATACCATGAAGGCGAACAATCTCCCCGATATAGATCTCAGCTAACCTCTCGGATGAATATGAGACCGCCATAGGAATGAAATGCGCTGACTTGGTCAGCCTATCAACAATGACCCAAACTGCGTCGAACTTCTTCCGAGTCAGCGGAAGTCCAGTAATGAAGTCCATAGTGATCCGCTCCCACTTCCACTCGGGAAGCTCAATCCTCTGAAACAATCCACCAGGCCTTTGATGCTCGTACTTAACCTGCTGACAATTCAAATACCATGCCACATATGATACAATAACCTTCTTCATTCTACGCCACCAATAATGCTGTTGCAAATCCTGATACATCTTCACGACGCCCGGATGAATAGAGTACCGGGAACTATGGGCCTCCCTTAAAATTAGCTCCCGAAGCCCATCCATATTAGGCACACAAACTCGACCCTGCAATCTCGAAATTCTATCAGCATCTAAGGTAACCTGCTTGGCACCTCCACGCTGCACCGTGTCTCTAAGGACACACAAATGGGGATCAAACTACAACAAAAAGGTCTTTAGCGGCAATAAAAAAACTTTTAGCGACAATAGATATTGCCGCTAAATGATTTACCGGCTATTCTTTTTTAGCCATGGTTGCTGGCGTCGCTAAAGCCTTTAGCGGCCATCCGATGAAGTGCAAGTAAATCTAGGTTTTATTGCCGCTAAAGGTCCCGGGCTTTAACGTCTACAGTTTAGCGGCAATTAAATGGCTGTTAAATCCATTTCATAATAGGCTTATATTGTGCTTCAATGGTCATTCTTTTTGACCGATATATCTAATTATATTGCCGCAAAAAGTAGAATGCTTTAATGTCAAATATTTAGTGGCAATTCAATGGCTGCAAAATCTATTCCATAGTAGGCTTAATTTGCACTTTAATGTCTAATATTTTGGCCAGTAAATCAAAAACTATTGCCACGAAAAGTCACATTAAATTGAATTAAATTGCCACTAAAAGTCATAGGTATAATGGCAATTGTATAGATGCAACTATAACAAATTCTAAATCAAATTAGTTCTCGATTAAAAATACCCCTTTAGCGGCAAATAAAAAACCAAACTATCTTTAAACTGCAAAAATGCTAATAAAATACGCTACTTAACTCATAAAACATAATATATTTCATTCAATCTAGAAAAACAAAAGAAAGTATTAATTCTTACTAATGTATCAACGACATGTAAGATAAATTACATTGTTCAAACAAAATAACCAACATTATTATCGCTAATTCTATATAATATTCATAATAACAAAAGGGTAGAAGCCCTCAAACAATTCTGCAAATCTTCCTCGTACTGAAATCTTTCACATCGTACTGTTTAACCTGAAATAACAAAATAAGTAATGTGAAAAATGAATCTCCTTTTACTCATTTGTTATTTCTATCATTTAGATGATAGTCCTATCTAAAATACAATAACTCGTATAAACACATACATGTACACCAATTCTCGACAAATAGAGAGACAAATGAATATATACATGTACACCAATTCTGGACAAATAGCGAGGCAAAGGAATATATGCATGTAAACCAGATGTTGTGACATTTGGGATTCTCATCAATCATTTATGCAAAAGTTACAAGGTCGATGAGGCAATGCAGGTGTTTGAGAAGACGGGAGGCAGTGAAAGTGATGGCATTCTTGTTAAGCCAGACCTTGTTCTCTACAATACATTAATTGATGGGCTTTGTAAGGTAGAGAGGCAAGAAGAAGGGTTTAAGTTGATGGAAAAGATGAGGCTGGAGAGTGGATATGAACTTAATACTGTTACCTATTGCTTGATAGATGGTTTCTGCAAAGCAGGCGAGATTGAGAAGGTCATACGAGCTTTTTGACCAGATGAAAAAGGGCGGGGTAGAGCCAAATGTGATTTCTCTGAATACTTTGCTTGATGGAATGTGCAAGCATGGGAAACCTGATCGCTACACCTACAACACTTTGATATCATATTTCTGCCGGAGCAATTTGCAACTGCCCATAGAGTTATGAAGAGGATGATTGATGATGGTTATTTTCCTAATGTTGTTACATATGGAGCACTAACACATATTGTTTAGGTGGAAATGTTGATGAAGCTATGAAAATATTCCAGAATATGTGTTCTTCTACAAATGTGCCACCAAACACTGTCATATACAATACTTTGATCGACGCTCTCTGCAAGAGTGACAAAGTAGAAACTGGAATTTCTTTGTTGGGTGATATGAAGGACAAAGGAGATTGAGTATTGAAGGAATTGTTTTCCACAGGCCAGATTAAGCAAAATCCAAACAACATTGGTAAACACATTCTCTTGACCTTCCTTGATCCAAAAACTAGTTGCTGCTAGACATACTCTAGAAATTCAAATTATTGGCTAAAACTAAGCATACATCAAGGGCAGCAAACTAATAATCCTATGCTACAGTCCGTTAAGGTTTGCATTAATATATTTCTTACATAATGCTTTTCACTTTTTGAAAGAAAAAATGAATAGAACAAAAAAGAGTTTATGTGAAAGCACAGAAAAGTACCACAAGACGACGGAGTATTTCCAGCTACATTATGCATATTGGGTGATTCTGGTATTCGCTCATGGTCATGGTTGGTATCAACGACCTGATAAATATTAAGATGTAAAATTATTTTAGTTGTATGTATATTTAGTACGTACTAAAGTTTACAGAGTACAAGAAGTAACAATATTTGTAACAGTGAATAAACAAGAAAAATAAAACTACCAAATATATATCCACACACATATTTTATAACAAACCTGGAAAGTTACAAGAAGTGAAACTTTCCTCATAACTCCTGGAACAAACATTTCTTAGCCTATATACGCCTAAAACTTTTGAAATTGAGTTACTTGTCCAGTTGAGATTCCATTGATATTCTGAGGCATGGGTAACTCATTTGGAGCAATTTTTCTCATGACTTGCCGCATCCATGATAGTTCTTGTCTCATAAAACTCATTTCTTCATTTTGTTTTTCATTTAACTCTTTTAACTCTATTATCTTGTGCTTTAGTTTTTGTACAACCTCATCAAACGAATCCTCTATAACAATATTTCCTAAGGAAGATCTACTGTCCCACAACATAGAAGGAGTTGGACCAAGTCCTAAACCACGAACATACCCACTTTTATCATTTTCAAGCACTTGGGAATACACATCTCCTTCCCAAGCAACACTGCGGGAAGGCTGGTCATTTGATCCGTCAATATCCCTCAACCTTTCGTTCATCATGTCCTGATTAATTAAGGGCATAACATAGTTAACAATATATATAAATTTAATACACCAAAAATCCAATTTTCAATTCAGTTATTCTCTTTAAATTTTCCTTTTTTTAATCTATTTCCTAGTTCAAGATATAAAAGAAAGAGAAGAAATCTTTTTTTTTATAAGGAAGAAAGAGAAGAAATCTTACAACTGCCTTTGCAGACTCCTCATCCAATAGTCTACCATTTTTACGTTTTTTGTATGTCAGTATAAATATTTCTGCTCGTGTAGGCTCTATACCATTCTTGGCCTATTACAATAAATTTGATGTCAAATCTGTACGATAAAAGAGTTTTAAAATATTTTATTTTGTAATTATACATGTACCTGCTCATCCATTAAGGTGGCAATACTTTTGGATCCTCCTATGTGAGGCACATTTTGTTTGGCCCTATTATTTTTATTTGCCTGGGTACGCCTCTGTCATTGCAACATAAAATAATCAAAATAATATAAGAATTAGCAATTAATAAAAATAATCAAAAGACTATAATAATAAGCAACTAATTGTGCATTTTTAAGATTTTAAAGTTTATACCTTAGCTTTATCAGAAAGCCAATAAGAAACAAGACCAGTCCATTGATCCTTTGGTATACGACTTGCTGGTCTATTCTTCAGCAAAACATCTTTGGTTTTATATTTTTCCAAATATTCACTTTTTAAATCGGATTTGTAATCTTTCCATTTTTTTTCCAGTTGACTTTAAGACATATGCTTCTCCACGTGTTGGGATAGAGAACTTTTTCTAAAATCAAAAACAAACATTTAGCAATAACATGTTTTTACAAGAATAACAGCAACAACAACAATAATAATAGCAGTAATAACTATAACAACAACAACAACAACAACAACAACAACAACAACAACAACAACAACAACAACAACAACAACAACAACAACAACAACAACAACAACAACAACAACAACAACAACAACAACAACAATAATAATAATAATAATAATAATAATAATAATAATAATAATAATAATAACTCCATACCCTTACAAACTCTAGCAATTTCTTCTTTTCTTCTTTATCAAAATTTTGCCAATCATCTATGTGTAGAGGTGTTAGATCTGGAGTTCTTTCGATAATGCCTAGAAAGCTAGCAAGCTTTAGACCCTCTTTTCCGATGGCTTGGTTATGAGTATTAAATTGCACAACAATTTTCTTCCCTGGAGGTAATTTCCAAATATCTTTTAATAATGTAGGCCCACGAACCTTCCTAGCTTTTGAATTGCCTAACATTAGAAAAAATTGAATGTCATGAAATTCATATACAGAATATCCATTTTCATACCTAAATATTATACCCTTGAAATGGCATTTCTATTTCAATTTCTCTTAAAAAATTGCAAACTAAAAGGAGCTGCATTGAGTAACTTCATTGAGTTTATAACAAACTTGTAATGATAAAGCAAAGAATAATAATCTTTGTATTAAGAAACTGGAAGATTTAGTAACAAGTGTTACCTGATTCTTTATTCTCTTGAACTTCAGTGCTAGAAGAACTATACAGTTCAGTAGATTGATTATCGTGTGATTGGGTTTGAGAGTGGTTCTGACCATCCATCAATTACTCAATATAAGATCGTACACTTTCATAATCATGTTGTTCAATTACCAATCTTTTGCCACCTCTGGTCCGCATAGTTCCTTCGCCAAAATGAAGTAGTTAACTAACTACATTCAGTTGTACTAGTACCAGATTAACTCCAATGGATCTACCGGCACATAAGCATCATCCACATCTCAAGCTATAAAAAAATATATAAACCGCGATTTGTGGATAAAAAATATACAAAAACAAAGCCTTAATGCAAAGATAGTCCTCGAGTTAAGAGGTATTGGTGCACCAGAAAATATATGTTATTATCCAGTGGTAGAAACACCTTAGCATCTCATAATCCAAGAGCTATAGCAGCAAAAGAAGTAACAATAAGCACAGAAAACTCACACAAATATTGGTTAATCCACCAATATAAGAATAGATAATCCATTGCTTACTAACATGCATGTTCTGTGGAATGTGACTTAAATTAAAAACAAAAAAAATATCGTATTCAATTCACTGGAAACAAATATCAAATACCTAAAAGTACTCTAATAACACCAGCAAAAAATATTTAATAACTACCATCTATCGTATTTTCGATCACTTTCATTTTCAATGTCATTTCCTCCATCAACATGAGATTCACCTTCATTTGGAGAATTTCGAGAATGTATATTCATATCAATTACTATCCCATCGACACCGCTTCTTACCCAATCATGTCATTCATATTCTGAATCAATAGTATTTTCTAAGAGCGTCGAGCCAGCGGCATCACTCTGCATTGATGATTCAAACTGCATACTATTTTCCTCTCCCATATAAAAAATATCTCGAGGTTTAATTAACCTGGGGACAAACCATTCATGATCCTTAGGATTTTGTACAAATATTACTTGTTGAGCTTGTTCTGCAAAGACAAAAGACTCATGACTTTCTCGGTCGCCAGAGTCTATTAGGTGTGAGAAGTTTACTAGTGTAAACCTAAGTCATCCTCCTTAACTCCTCTACCTTTGGTAACATCAACCCAATCGCACTTAAACAAGACAACCTTAAATTCTTCATAGTAGTTTAACTCCACAATATCATTTAATCTGCCATAATAGTTGATATTTGCAAATTTTGGAGCTTTGTCACTTGTACTTGCATAACTTTCAGTTTTTGAAATGACCATAACACCACTATTTTGTGTCTCCATGAACTCTTCATTTTGTTTCATTCGAAATCAATACCCATTAATTACATTGAACGCCTTGAATCTTCTTGCAATGCGACTTGGCCCTTTCGCAAGGACCTTAACATCCTTTGGTATGTTAGATTTGACATCCAACTCATTCACCTAGTCAAATAGACAAATAGAAGTGCACAACTATTAATATTGATATAAGTACACGCACAATAATTTAAAATTGCTAATGACATAATCCAGCTACTCACTTTTTCCTTGAACCACTCATGAAATGTATCAAAATCTAACCGATCGAGTTGATGTTGTGTAAGACGACGCTTACGATGTAATCTCTTGATTTCAGCAATATGTTCCCTATTTATGTAAGTCACATATATTAATTTTGCTATCAAATAAGGTAATATATAAATATTTAATTAGTAATATATTACCACTCACTTTTTGTAATTCTCAACCACATCTGATTCACAATTGAAAAGCACATGTCGATGTGTTTGCAACCATGTTTTCTCATCCAACTCAAATACATCTACTTGACCATACGACTCCCCAATAGTAGAAAAAAGACATACTTCTCTATTAGTCTCATGCTCAATCTCAACATCACTTTTTTTGACCAATAAAACCGTAAATCTCCCCCCTCCAAATATCGCGAGCAAAATGTCATGCACTCATTTGCGATATATGCTTCTGCTATTCAACCTTCTGGGTTTGCACGATTACGAACATATGATTTAAAGTACACAAGTATCTGTAGAATAAAGTAATTTATTAATCTAATATTTTTATAGTTAATAAAAGCTTAAGATATACAATAATAATTTAATGATATTCTTCATACCTCTCAATTGGGTATATCTAACGATAATGCACTGGCCCCGCAAGTTTAGCCTCAGTTGCCAAGTGAATGACCAAGTGTACCATAATAGTAAAGAATGACGGGAGGAAGAGTTTTTCCATATTAGACAATGTTACTGCAATTTTTTCTTCAAGTAACTCTAACTCTTCTATTTTAAGCACTTTGCTACAAAGAACCCGAAAAAATGTGCATAGTTCAATTAAAACAGAACTGACTCTTTTATCTGTTGACCTTCGCAATGCAAGAGGAAGAAGTTCTTGCATTATAACATGGCAATCATGAGTTTTTAGCCCCAATATTTTTCGTTTGCGAATGCAACATGAGATATTAGACGCATGGCCATGTGGAAACTTGGCATTTTGCAGTACTTCATAAAATAACTCTTTTTCTGTTGGAGACATTGTGAAAAAAGTAGCAGGAAGGTATGTCCTCCCACTAGCTCGAGTTTGAGGCCACAGGCTTGGTCTTATTTTCATCTCCTTCAAGTCCAATCGAGCTTCTATGTTATCTTTTGACTTTTTACCAAGACCCAATAATGTATAAATTAAGTTATCACATACATTCTTTTCTATGTGCATCACATCAAGATTATGACGCACCAAGTTATACTCCCAATAAGGAAGAATGTAAAAAATATTTCTCTTTTTTCCATGTGTTTTTCATCACCCCTCTTACATCTTCACTTGATTGACCGAGAATGAACTTTATATCTCTAACTTGATTTAGAACTAGTGATCCAGATACTGGATAAGGTGCAGGTCTTGATTCTTTAGTCCCATCAAATGACTTTGCATCATTTCGATATTTGTGCCCAGGCTTCAAGAAACGTCGATGGCCCATATAACAAATTTTTTTTCCATGTTTGAGTCTTCTAGATTCAGTGTTTATGTTACAAGAAGGGCATACAAATTTACTATAAGTGCACCATCCAGAGAGATTACCATATGCTGGAAAATCAATTATAGTCCACATGAGAGCTGCTCGAATTTTAAATGTCTCCTTAGCAAAGGCATCATATGTTTCTACCCGACATCCTATAATTCAATTAACTCTTCTATTAAAGTTTCCAGAAAGACATAAATGTTATTGCCAGGCCCTTTTGGTCCAGGAATAAGTAATGACAAAATAAAAAACTCTGCTTTCATGCACATCCAAGGTGGGAGATTATATGGCATTATAATCACTGGCCATATACTATGAACAGTTCACATTGTACCAAATGGATTAAATCCATCAGAAGCTAATCCTAGATGAATATTACGGGCATCTCTAGCGAATTCTAGATATTTATTATCGAAACTTTTCCAAGCTTCAGAACCTGCAGGATGTCGTTAAACTCCATCTTTGTTGCATTCTTCATGATGCCACCGCATAAGCTTAGAAGTTTCTGAAGACATAAATAATCTTTGTAACCTTAGTTTTAAAGGAAAATACCTTAGGACTTTGGCTGGGATTTTTCTATCAATTTTTGTCCATCTAGAAGCCCCACAAATTAAGCATTTATTAACATCCTTACTGGCAAATTCATTCCTAAAAAGCATGCAATCATTTGGACAAGCATGAATTTTTTGTACTTTAAGCCCAACACTTCAAGTGTCTTTTTAGTCTCATAGAAAGAAGGAGGCAACTTTTCACCCTCAGACAGTGCATCTTTTAATAGTCCAAGCAAAGCATTAAATGATTCATTTGTCCATTTGAACGACCGTTTCATATTGTAGAGATGCAGCAAAAATGACAGTTTATTAAAATTCTTGCATCCAGGATATAGTTCTTCATTTGAATCCTTCAAGAGTTGTTCAAACTTATCCACCTCTCGATGAGATTGATTTATAGATGGATTAGTATTATTTTCTTCTGAGTTTGTCTCCATCTCACCACTTTCACTAATATCACTATCCATAGACTGGGTAAAGCCTCCAGAAGCATCATGTATCATTCCTCTCATATCATCACCCCTTATAGTTAATTGTCTGTAATTATTTACACGAGTACTATTTGATTCATTGAGAGACTCCCCATGACAAAATAAAGTATCATGTGATGGAATAACACCATTAATCACAAGATGATCATATGGAGTTGCCCGATTTACTTGATAGTATAGCACACATTGTGAACAAGGACATAAAATTATTTCTCTTTCACGAAGGCGTAGTTTAGAAAATTCTCTACTCCATTCAAATATTCTTTACTGACTCTATCATAATACATCCATTTCTTACTTCTAGGCTTGTCCATGACTGTTCAAGGGCTTTTTTTCTTTTCTGCAAATTACAATAATAGCTAAAAATAATTTAGTACAAAAGAGAAAATAACCTAAATGGTAGTTCTAGAAAAAATGTAGTTATAGATGAGATATTAACATGATTATATAGCTCAAAGAAATCATTTCAACAATAAAATTAAGGACTGGGAACAAATTAAAAACAGTAAGAAATGCACATTAAACTATTATTTGGTATTAGAACACCAGTTTCTAGTTTTGTTTGTACTCTTAATGTGCATATTCAGCAGGCTCAAAAATAACTTCACAGATGCATAATCATTAAGAAGCACCTAAGACGACCACTCGTAAACTATAACTAAAATTCATTATAATGCAACTTTGCTCAATGAATCAACACCAATTAAATACCTAATAAGCCGCATTATACAAAACGAATTCATGAAAACTAAATAACACTATCAAACTGTGGAAAACCTAACTACCCAGTACTGTTTTTTTAAAGAATCTTTAATTGCCACATGAATTCCATGGAATGAAATTTCAGATTTTTTTCACCATTAAATTTCACTATTGAGACATCAGAATGATAAAAAAGTGTTCAACCTGAAGTTTAATTTGATATTTGAATTTTTGAGAAGTTAATATGTATAAAATAATTGGGAGGGAGAAGTAGCACCATAGAATCCAGAGATATAGCACAAAAATAAATATCTCAGTAAGCAAAAAATGCAAACCAAATTAAAGTTATAATTATCAATAAAAAAAGTTTCATCCTTCACTTCAAGAACATAAATCAATCTGACAATATCCTAAAAGATAGAGATAGAGATAGAGGTGTATAAAGAGAAATTAAGAGAAAGATATAAAAGTATAGAAAAATAGATAGAAACCGTACCTTTCAATTGGCGAAAATTTTGGTTGCTAGAGGCGGAGGTTTTCTTACACCAGGAAAATTGTAAAAGCTTTTTTAAGAATGAGACCTAATTCTTACAGGCGTAGGTTTTCCTTTTTTTGGGCAAATCAGAGAAGTGATATAATATTTAGGCGGGAGAAGATTTAGAGGGAAAAAAAATTGGAGGGAAAAGAAAAGGTAAAAATAAAAGCTTAGCAGACTAATTCTCTTGAATCACCGCAAAAATATACTTTTTGCTGACAAATATTTATTAGCCGCTAATGTTTTGCCTTCACTAAATAATTTAGCAGCAATTAAGTTATTGCCATTAAATAATTGCCGCTAAAGACCTTTTTTGTTGTAGTGTCATCAAACTGTCTATCATGGATACGCTCCAATAACGAAGAACGAGCGACCGTGCAAGCTAATACCTGACTAGACTCAGAAATATCCAACCTTACGAATCGATTGGCTAAGGCTTGAACGTCCAAAACAAGCGGCCTCTCACCGACTGGGATATAAGAAAGACTGCCCATACTGGCTGACTTCCTACTCAAAGCATCGACTACCACATTGGCATTTTCCGAGTGATATATGATAGTGATGTCATAATCCTTCAACAACTCCAACCACCCCCTCTGCCTCATATTCAACTCTTTTTGCTTGAACAAATACTGAAGACTCTTGTGATCAGTGAACACCTCACATGCCACGCCATACAGATAATGTCTCCAGATCTTCAATCCGTATGGCTGCCAACTCCAAATCATGAACCGGATAGTTTTTCTCATGAATCTTTAACTGCCTCGAAGCATAGGCAATGACCTTGCCATCCTACATCAATACTACACCAAGCCCAATATAGGAAGCATCACAATAGACTGTGTAAGGCCCTGAAATCCGTGGGCAATACTAACACCAGTGCCGTAGTCAGAGCTGTCTTGAGCCTCTGAAAGCTCTCCTCACACTCATTCGACCATCTGAACTGGGCACCCTTCTGGGTCAACCTGGTCATTGGGACTGCGATAGATGAGAACCCCTCTACGAACCGACGATAGCAGCCTGCCAATCCCAAGAAACTCCGAATCTCGGTAGCTGATGCTGGTCTAGGCCAGTTCTTGACTGCTTCAATCTTCTTCGGGTCCACCTGAATACCCTCTACTTCCAATATGACCTAGGAATGCAACTGAACTCAACCAGAACTCATACTTCGAGAATTTAGCATATAACTGACTATCCCTCAAGGTCTGAAGAACCACTCTAAGATGCTGCTCGTGCTCCTCTCGGCTGCGGGAATATATCAGAATATCATCAATAAAGACTATCACGAATGAGTCCAAATAAGGCCCGAATACTCGGTTCATCAAATCCATAAAAGCTGCTGGGGCATTTGTCAACCCGAATGACATAACCAAGAACTCATAATGCCCGTACCGAGTGTGGAAAGCTGTCTTAGGGACATCGGATGCCCTAATCCTCAACTGATGGTAGCCAGATCTCAAGTCAATCTTTGAAAATACCTTGGCACCCTGAAGCTGATCGAACAAATCATCAATCCTTGGCAGTGGATACTTATTTTTGATGGTGACCTTGTTCAACTGCCGGTAATCAATGCACATTCTCATCGAACCATCCTTTTTCTTGACAAACAACACCGGAGCACCCCAAGGCGAAATGCTGGGTCTAATGAAACCCTTCTCAAGCAAGTCTTGCAACTGCTCCTTCAACTCTTCCAACTCTGGCGGGGCTATGCGATATGGCGGAATAAAAATGGGCTGAGTGCCCGAAACCAAATCGATGCAGAAATCAATATCCCTGTTAGGTGGCATACCCGACAGGTCTGAAGGGAAAACATCAGGAAACTCACGAACCGCGAGCACCGATTCAATAGATGGAACCTCACCACTGGAATTGCGAACATAAGCAAAATAGGCCAAACACCCCTTCTCGACCATACACCGAGCCTTCACGTACGAGATAACACTGCGGGTAGAATAACCAGGAGTCCCTCTGCACTCTAAACGGGGAAAATCCGGTAAGGCTAAGGTCACAGGCTTGGCGTGACAGTCCAAGATGGCGTGGTACGGGGATAACCAATCCATCCCCATTATAACATCGAAATCGACCATGTCTAACAGCAACAAATCAACACGGGTCTCAATATCCCCAATCACCACAATACAAGAACGATGAACTCGATCGACCACAATAGAATCACCTACCGGTGTAGACACATAAAGAGGAATACTCAATGAATCACTAGGCATGACCAGGTACGGTGCAAAATAAGATGAAACATACGAATACGTAGACCCTGGATCAAACAGCACTGAAGCATCTCTATCACAAACCAGAATGGTACCAGTAATGACTGCATCTGAAGCCTCAGCCTCGGGCCTAGCTGGAAGGGCATAACATCGGGGCTGGGCCCCACCACCCTGAACTACCTCTCTGGGACGGCCTACTGCTGGCTGGCCTCCACCTCTGGCGGCCTGAACTTTACCTCTAGGACCTCTACCTCCACCTCTACCCCCACCTTTAACTGGTTGGGCGGGCTGTGGAACGCTTGGTGCCTGTAGCATAGCACGAGAACCCTGATGCTGAGAGCTACCTGGTGCTCGAGGGCAAAACCTGGCAATGTGACCGGGATCACCACAATTGTAACAAGCCCTCGGTTGCTGAAATTGCTAGCCCTGTCGACCTGAATGACCACCTCGGAAACTCTGAAGTGGTAGTGCACTGATGGGAGCTGGTGGTGCACTGTAAGGCTGCTGATCAGAATAGTGCATCTGAGAACCACGACCACTTGAAGTACCATGAGAGACCTGGAGAGCTGACTGAAAGGGCCTAGGAGGATATCCTCTACCATATGAATCTCTACCTCCAGACGAGGTACCACTGAATCTGCCTGAATGATGGGGCCTCTTATCCGACCCATGACCACCTCCCTATGACAGAACCATCTCAACTCTGCGAGCCACATTGGCCGCCTCCTGAAAGGTGATCTCACTCACGGGCTCCTTGACCATTTGAAGACGAATCAGCTGAATAAGACCATCAATAAACCTCCTCACTCTCTCTCTCTCTCGGTGGGAAGTATGACAAGAGCATGGCGAGCTAGATCGATGAACCTGGTCTCATACTGGGTGAGCGTCATGGAACCCTACTGGAGGCGCTCAAACTGCCTCCGAAAGGCCTCTCTGTGAGTCACGGGGAGAAACTTCTGCAAAAAAAATGTTGTGAACTGCTCCCAAGTTAAAGATAGCGAACTGGCTGGTCTAGCTAAGCAATAATCCCTCCACCAAGTCTTGGCGGATTCAGACAGACGAAAGGTAGCAAAATCAACTCCATTGGTCTCAACGATCCCCATGTTCCGAAGAACCTCATGACAACTATACAGATAATCCTGGGGATCCTCAGTAGATGCACCGCTGAATGTAGAAGTGAAGAGCTTGGTGATCCTATCCAGCCTCCACAAGGCGTCGGCGGACATAGTCGCTCCATCGCCGGTCTGAGCTACTACACCCGACTGAACTGCCACAGCTAGTTGAACTACTAGAACCTGAACCTGGGGAGCTACCTACTCTGGAGTGCGCGTAGCAGGAGTCTGAGCCCCTCCTCCAGCCTGAGAAGTGGCTGGTGCTACGGGAAGCAAACCCGCTCGAGTGACATCTCCATGAGGCCCACCAATCGGACCAGAGCGTCCTGAAGAACTGGGGTGGCAATGAACCCTTCTGGGACCTAAGCTGGGCCCACCAGAACTGCTGGGGCCGGAACCTCCTCCTCAAAATCAACCTGAGGCTCCGCCACTGGTGCTGCTGCTCAGGGCTGAGCTCTGCCTCTACCTCGGCCTCTAGCACGGCCTCAGCCTCGGCCTCTGCCCCTAGTGGGAGCTACTGCTGGGGGCTCGGGTTGTTGAGCGGTAGATGAGGAAGCGCGTGTTCTCGCCATCTGCGAAAGAGCAGAGTAGAAATCCAATTAGCATTTGAGGAACAAATTCGCACGGCAAGAAAGAAAAAATGTGAAATTTTCCTAACTCTATAGCCTCTAGGGAATAAATACAGACGTCTCTGTACCGATCCCTCAGACTCTACTAAGCTTGTCCGTGAGTTGTGAGACCTATGTAACCTAGAGCTCTGATACCAACTTGTCACGACCTGGATTTCCCACCCTCGGGAGTCGTGATGATGCCTACTAATATGAGCTAGGCAAGCCAATTCTTAACTGCTACTTCATTAACAAATTACTTCTTTTGACAATTGTCAGTAATATCATGAAAACAACACAATTTAATAAATATGTGGAATACGTAAATTAAAGAAACTAAACAATAATGCAGAAATCAACATATGTCTCTACCCAAGAACTGGTGTCACATTACTCACGAACTTCTAAGAGTACTAAATACATCCGTTTGAAAGAAAAATATAAATTGTTTGTCTCGGAAACATGAGATAACAGACTAAAATAAAAGATAGAGGAGACGCCGGTCCTGTGGACGCCTGCAAGGCTACCTCGGTGTCTCACTAGACTGAAGGCTGGCTCCGCGCTACTGCTGCTGTCCAAGACCTAGATCTGTGCAATAGAGTNATAACTAGAATATCAACAAGGAAGCAGAAATTAACAATTTGCACGGCATCACCCTTCGTGCTTTAACTCTCGTTCTCACCAAAACAATACACGACATCACCCTTCATGTTTTACGCTCTTCCTCACCCAAACAACAATCACAAGGCAAATAGGGTAAGGAAATCTAATACCTCGAAGTAAATCAAATAACAACAAGTAATGAAAGAAACAACATAACTCGGATATCAACAAGGAAATCAAAAATCAACAAATGTACGGCATCACCCTTCGTGCTTTTACTCTCGTCCTCACCAAATCAATCGTGTCTTAATAATGTGCACGACATCACCCTTCGTGCTTTTACTCTCTTTTCTCACAATATAGTCAATGAATATCGGTACGGAATGGTACATCA